TGTGTTCAATTGTCCATAGCATCGAAATATGACTTAGAACATTCTTATGAGAGAGAAGTACTCAGAGATACTGTAGTAGTTGAGTGGTCTTAAAATGTGAGTAGGCATTTAGCTAACAAATAGAAGGAGAAAAAGGATAGGTTTCTAGCAAGGGATAACACTGTGCTAATCTGTGACCACATGATGTATGCTTAAGCAATTCTGCTCTAAGCAGTGACAGTTTTGAAGAAAAAAGACAAGAGCCATCTTGTAAATGGCCTTGTATGCAAAAGAAAGAGATTGGAGGTTAGATATAAGTTTTTCTAGTAGATGTTGTAGACCCTTTGCATTAGACATTTTCAGTCAGTCCCATCAGCCATGAATTAAATAACTGACGAATGGCATTTCTATGGAGTAATTAAATTAACCACAGTTGCTTAGTTTATTTTTAAAAAGAAAATTTCATTTTGACAAGTTGCTCTACAGAGGACAGTGACCAGATTTTTCAGTTCCCACTGAGGACAAAACAAGGGAAAAAATTGGGTTTGTTTCAGCAGAAGGGAAAATTACCCATAGACAAGGTCCTTCACAGATGGATTGACTGACATGGATCATTAAGATGTTGTCTCTGGCTCCCTGGCTCTGTGCAGGATTCTGTGTCAGGTTTCAGAACAGTGATGTGACTAACAATTATTAGACTTGAATGAATTAGAATTAGAATCAGTAAATCTTTTAAGGGACTCTGGGGAGATGGTTCAGTGTTAAGCACTTGCTGTTCTTCTAGAGCACCTGAGTTCCATTCCTAGCACCCATATAAGGCAGTTCTCAAATGTCTTTAACTCCAGCTCCAGGGCATCTGATGCCCTATTCTGGCCTTGAATGATACCTGTATATATGTGGCACACACACAAATACACACATACACCTAATTTTTTTTTAATTAGGTGCTCATTACTCATATTTTTCTCTCTACCTAAAGCTTTAGTATTGTATTTTAACATGCAAAAGTTATTATCTTTTGTCATATATTATTCATACATTTTTTAAAGATGAGCATAGGGGCTGGAGAGATGGCTCATCAGTTGAGGACAAATGGCTGCTCTTCCAAAAGGACCCAGGTTCAATTCCCAGCACCCACATGGCAGCTCCCAACATCTGTAACTCCACTTCGAGGGAATCTGAAACTCTCAAACAATTTATATATATATATATATATATATATATATATATATATATATGCAAAACACCAGTGTGCAGTAAATAAATAAATAAATATTAGAGAGAGAGAGATGAACAGAATTGACCATAAAACTAGGTGTTTTCCCAGCACAGGTATTTTGTATTCATGCGCCATTTCTGACTGAGATTGTGGCAATAGAATTCATTTAATTTCAGTTATTAATCATTGTGTATAACAATTACTGGCCAGGTGTCTGCAATTAAAACTACTATGTATGTGGTTTATTAGCTGACTGCTCTTAGTTATTGCGATGATTCACTCTTATTTTCATTTGTAGTCACGAAGTCAAATTACTGAAATAATACAATTTTTTTTTAGCTTTTCCAAATATTTCTACTTTATGAATCTACTATTTTGTTTTTAGTGTTTGGAAATATACACAAAATAGGCAAGTGTGGAATAGCCTCTCCATACCCTATGGCCGCTTATAAAAAGAAGTCAGATATCTGTCCTGTGTCCTTCCTCCATGAAGCTTGAAGAAGGAATTCAGCTGAAATATAGACAAAGGTGCCAAAAGGCACTTTGCTTCTGGCTACACCAGACTTTGAAATGCTTATATTATACTCTGGGACTTAGGAAGGCTGGAGCTTGGCTATCTCTTTGTTTCGATATTTGACACTTTTATAAAATTTTAACATGATTGCAAGTAACCAGATATCAAATAGAAATTAATTTTCTCTTAATAAACTAACCCAACTACTTTGGAAGTGATATTGTACATATTCAGATTAGATTACCTTTGTTTTACCCCCAAGAGATGAAAATATCCAGCTTGTCTACTTACAACAGCAAATTATTGGATAAATGTCATTAACTAGTAGGACTGATGAAAGTGTTTTTAGTTGCCTTCTGTGCTGAAAATGAATAATACTACATGGACTGAGACAGAAGGACTATAGCTAGTGTATAAATGATACGGAGTAAGAAATATGCAGATACAATATAAATTAATGTACTACATTAAGGGTAATTATTTTGCATTATATTTTCATTGATCTAAAAGTTATGTATAGAAAGAAACATTAAAAAGACCATCTATTGGTCATCATTTCCTGTCAGTTTGAGACATTAAAAAGAACTCAGTGTGTGATGGTTTCTCAAAAATAAATATTGCTATATAGAATAAACACCTTGTCTCCCATACCAACTAGAGACATTTCTCAGATTGTCAAGGCAGATGCTTCACCTTGATTGCCAATGCTTTGAAGGGAATGTTATGGTTCTAAAAAGGCACATGAATACTTTGTCTAGGAGGCCTATTGACTTAATTAGAAATAATAACATATTTGCTTAACTAAGATGTTATCCTGTATTTGTTTTTGTAGATTCAACCATTGACCATGGTAAATTGCATAACAGGATTATCTTGTTAGTAACACTGAGAGTGAATAAATATGAAAATACTTTTCGGTACTTGAAAATGGTTCAGTGATTAAAGTGCTTGGTGTTCACATAAGAGATCTGAATTTGGATCCTTAGGAAGCACATAAAACAAAACAAGCAAAAAATAAAAATGGCATAGTGGAGCATGTCTAATTCCCATTGATTGGAGGCATAGACAGGCCTAGGGCTTGCTGGCCAGATAGTCTAGCTGGAATAGCAAGCTTCACGTTCAGTGAAAAACCCTGTCTCAAAAAGCAGGATGGAGAATAATAGAAGACACTAGATGATGTCTTATGTCTGCAACACATGCACACACAGCAAGTGCACTTTTACACATGTACATATGCATACAAACGACAGATACAACTACACACTCATACATACACAAATGTGTAAATTCAGCAATTTAAGAATGCATACTGAAGCTGGAGTTTTTACTGTAAAAATCATGTAAAACCCTAGACAAAGTAAAGGAAATGCATAAAATGGGCATGACTACAATACTATTTTTCTGTTTTATTTGCAATATCTATGTATATTTTTAACAACTGTAAAATTCTTGTGCAATTTGGTGTCTTGAATAGTGTAAGAGTTTATTTTTTTCTTCTTCTCTTTTTTTGTTTGTATGTTTTTGTCTCCAGACTTTGAAAAAAATCAATTTTCTTACTGTTGGGGGGGGGGGTTCCTGCAATTTACCTTGGCACTTATTTGGTGGTGGGAGGGGAATCTCAGATGTTGAGTTGTAAGGGATTTTTTTTAATATCCCACATACTGTAAAAATGATGTGATTTGTGAGCATCTAACACAGTAATCCCAGTTAAAGAGTTCTCTTTGGGGACCAGAGCCTCCCATTGATTCTTCTATAGCTGCTAGCCTTACTTAAGATAAACTGCCCTTGAGGTTCCTGTTGCTTTTTGTTCTTATCGCTTGTCCTTGGATTGTGGGATTCAACCTTGTAGTACGGAAAGGTGTTTGGTGAATGAGCATGAGTACAGCATTTTAAATATTTTCAATATATCGAATACTGTATTTGTAGAATTTCTCAGAGAAATAATGATGAACCCTGGACCATTATGCCTTCGGTGGTCATTTGTTTATGGAGTCATGAGGCTGATATTCTTTATATTTTTTCATGTCATGAGGATATAAATAGTCAATAAAAGGATTAGCACTAAAAAGATTTTATATAGGCTGATTTAATAAATACTATGATTCTTTTTTGTTTTAGCCACTAAAACAATAAGGATTAATTTATTTTGTAATTACCTAAGTATCCTCTACAGCCTTTCCTAAACCTGTTTGTGAAGAATACTTGTTTATTCTAAACAGAGTAATCCTTAAAGCTAAAAGCCCCAAATCAGTATGAACACCAGTGGATAAACCCGTCATCTAAGGATTATAGAATTAAAACACCCAATAAACTGTGAAAAATGTGATGTGTTGTCATATATTTATGCATTGTTTCTAAGTAAATACTTGATTTCATTTGCAGCTGTGTCTAGTATAAGAGATCTAAAAAAGAAAACATTAGAGCCTCCTAAAATTTTCTGATCTATCCTTTAAAGATTTTTATCATTCTATTAATGATATATTTTTCCTAGTATATCTAAAAAAAACATTCAATGTTAAGCAAATAAATAATAAATAATTTCATGTTTCCATGACTGTGTAGTCTGATTTTGGCTTAGAATTCTGTATGAAATGACTTCGTAATTTTTTTTTTTTTTTTTTTTTTTTGGTTTTTCGAGACAGGGTTTCTCTGTGTAGCTTTGCGCCTTTCCTGGAGCTCACTTGGTAGCCCAGGCTGGCCTCGAACTCACAGAGATCCGCCTGCCTCTGCCTCCCAAGTGCTGGGATTAAAGGCGTGCGCCACCAACGCCCGGCTGACTTCGTAATTTTTTTATCGCCCATACAAGTAAAGGAATGTAAAGCATGCTTACTGTTTTATGTTAATTTGCATCGATGATAGCTAGAAATAAATTTAATCTCACAAATGAATGCATCTTTCAAGAATATACTTTTTATAATAATGCAAAGACCCGAATGTTAGCATCAACACACATTAACTGAAGCTATTACAATAAATACTTAAATGAGTGTTCATGTCTCATAAAAAGAATAGTTCATTTTGCCATAATGATTCAGACATTTTCGAAAATATAGATTAAGGCTTAATTTGCCACTTGTATTAATGCTTTTTTTCTCCTTTATAAAATATCAAGTTCATTTTATGATCCTGAGCTATGTCACTAGTTGCCATTAAGAAGCAACTGCCAACTTAATGAAAAAAAAAAGTTCAAGTTATCTTCATCATAATCAATATTCACTCATCTTTTGTTTGACTTATTTAAGAAAAGTATCTATTTAAATTACAAAAATGCTATATTTTCCCTTTCAGATTAGAGATACAAAGTCAGCAGATCAAAAAACAACCCTTTTGCATTTTCTTGCTGAAATCTGTGAGGAAAAACACCGTGATATCCTGAAATTTCCTGATGAGCTAGAACATGTGGAAAGTGCAAGCAAAGGTAATCGATTAGCAGCTGCCTTGAGACTATTCTTAGCCTGTGTGTTTTAGTTTAAATGAGAAGATTAAAAAGGAAGCTGTGAGCACTATTAATCATAAAAGTTCTTTGTTGATGTAAGAAAAGTAGAAAGATAGTTTTGCTGGGCTTATATTTGACCCCACTGTACATTTAAATAACCTGTCTTGGTCTTTATTTTTTAACAGTGCCAGGTTATTAAAGCTTTAGGATCTCTAATCAAATAGTACATTCTATTATTTAAGTTGATAAGAACATTACTGTATGCTGTAAAGGAATCATACTTTGTTGATTTCAAAATGATTCTAAGGCGTTATTCCTTGAGAATGTTTTAATGATAATGTTCTGTAGTTTAGCTAAAGAAGAAAATACTTTGAAATGGGTATAATACAAGGCTAAAGTTTTACCAGCACAGCAAAGGGCTTGCTTTCCAGAGATAATTCAACAGGTGCCAGGTAAACTAGCACAGTCTTTTAGGACAGATGAAAGGAATAGTTGATGATGAGGCATACTCGGGTCTCACATCACTGTATCCTGAATTCAGGAAGGAAGGCAGAAGTGAAGCAGAATGCTTGTGAGATTTTAAAGCAGGGTAAGTAGCTGTGTCAACATAGTTTACACTTAACAAGTGATTAAAAAGTAAAAGGAGATGGATCAAGGAAATATTTTTTTTTCTGGAGGTGATATTATATGGGTGCAAATTTTATTTTTCTTTTAGATAAGAGAAATATGTACTGTTGTGATTATATTCTGTATCTTTGAGACTTAAGGGAAGGCACAAAGCCATATGCTTCTCAGACTTCCTACAAACTAAATGATCCTGCTAGTGTCCTTTGAAGAAAATGTCTGTAAAAGTCCAGAATATCACTTGCACACATTGTTCTGCAGTTCTCTGCTATTATGGAGTTGTCAGTCAGATCCTTGCCTTATTTTTAATTTTTTTTTTCTGTTGTGTCCTGTGCTGTGGTCCAAGGACCAAGCCTAATTATAGAAGATAGATTATGATTCCATAGTATTATATGTTTTCTTTCTTCATTAAATTTTTTATAAGATAATAGAAAGTTCTATTTATAAGTATGTTATAGCTTTTTTGCATCCCTTGGATTTTAATATATACCTTTGTAATGAGAGGTATTATTGAACTAACAAATAACATGTCTCATTAACATATTACATTATTATTGAAATATATAGATTACCACAAATCAAACCAGTTTTAAAATTAAGTGATATTTTGCTGTTATTATTTAAATGGTCTCTATGATAATATTTTAATTTCATTTGTTTAATAAGAATCAGTTTTAAAGGGAAATATATCTGTTTAATTTAAAATAAATTGTCCTGTCAATTTTATGGTGATAATTTTCAATTCCTATATTTAAGATACCTTTTGTTACCATATCTAGATATATACATTGAGTTTAATAAAACAGAATGATTGAGTTTAATTCTACATATTTGTTTATTAATGTAGTACACACAGAGAGAAATAAAGATATACTGCTTAATCTGTTTTATTTCACTCCAATAGAATACCATGTACTTGTATAATTAGCAATGAAAATAGATTTATGTCTCACATTTGATAGGTTTGGAAGTTCATGATCACAGACTTCATATATAACATTTTTCCCATAAGTCAGTATCTTCTGGTGATGTCAAAGAAATATTAGAATGTATACTCCTGTTGACAGAAAAATAAAGTCACCTAATATCCTATTTCTATTATAGAACATGTGACTGTGTTTTATATAATGTTTATATGTTTTAAGTTGTTGCTAAAACATTAATACCAAATACGTTTAGCCACTGTTACAAATGATAAAGGCAGACACTAGAACAAAACCTTTTAAGTTATTGTAAAATTTCTAATTCTAATTGTATTATTTACTATTTTCATAGTATTGAGGTTGTGATTTTTATGTTCTCATCTAGAAAATGACAATGAATGTCAATAACAGTAAGATTAAATACGTAAACTAATATATTCAAAGCATACAGTAAGAGCCTTGCCACCTAATGTGTACACTCCCATTATACTACTGTCATTAGAACTGATAGAAATAATAGTATTAACAATTTATCCACCAGAGATTGCAATGTTTTGATCATTAGATTAGAAGAGAATAATCATAAATATGTCTTCTAGTTCTTCAAGGTTCAGCTAAGCATACATCCTATCCAGCTTTGTTTCTTTCATATATCTGGGCTTTTTGATAAATCCTTTTTATATCTTTAATAGTTTCACGACTTTCTTTTGCCCTATTTCAACATCCAAATTTATCCGTTGTGCTTTGATTACTTGCTTTGTGTATTGATCTAGCCAGTATATTTATGAGACCAATGCCAAAATCCCTTGTTCCTGTCTCACTGTTTGGGCTGCAGCAATTCCCACTGTCCACTTGTTTTTGAATAGCTCTTTTTCTTTCCCTGTGAAATTCAAAGAGTTCTCTACTTAAAAACTTCTTAAGCACATTCTGCCTGCTTGCCGCCCCCTTTCATTTCCTCCTGGTTCTCACTTCAGTGTACCCAGACATATATTCTCTTGAGCCATTTTTATTCCTTTATAATAATCGTGTCTATGTGTACAATTTCCTACTGCATCCCCTGCCTGAAAATCTCACCTGCCTTGTCCTCTACGACAACTGACTATCATTTGTCAAAACACTGTTCAAAATCCATTTCCTTTCTTTCTACTGTCTTGTTACCAAAGCCTCAAGACAAAATACTTTTAAGTTTAGTCTCTACAGGAAGAAAAGAAATGGTGAAAGGTCATGCCACTTACGTGTTTTTTATAGTTAAATGCTTTTCCTTAATATTTAAGTCTAATTTGTCTTTGCTTTCTTAACATAAATTTCAGGGTCATTTGAGTCAAATTCTATCACCTTCAGTACTGTGTTTAATATACTGTATGTTTAGTATTCACACTCTCCCAGTGGAAATAAAAAATAGATCAACACTACATAATTAATTTATTTTTGAAAATGGATCATCTGCTTATGAAATGATCCCCTTCTATTTTTTTTACAAAACAGCCTTTTTAAAATTGGAGGTATAGGAATAATGAAAATGTGTATTAATGAATGTACTACATTTCACATATAATAAGCAACTGTATGACCATATATCTTTTTGAATATTAGAATTCAGGTGCTAACTTTATAAGAAAAGAATGTTTTCTGTCCAGTATGGCAAACAATGGGTATATTCTCATTAAGTACTAAAAGCATAGGCCTCAAAATTATTGATGATGGAGAGAAGTGCCATCACCTTAAGCAGCAAGAAAAACAAAAACATTATGTATAATGTAGGGAAACCTTTATTTGTATAATTATCTTTATTCTTCACAAAGCTAAGCTTTAAAATTATGCATTTCTTGGAGAAGCAAGCCTTTGGTATCAATTTAGCATATTTTCCTAGAGCTCTGTAACTCAAAGATATTGAAGAAAACACATCATTTTTACATTAAAATAGATATATATTACAGAGTAGAATGCAAAAGCCACATGAATTTTTAAAATAAAACAGATGACTTCAAAGAAATTTCACACTTGCAGCAGATCCCTAGGGGTGTGTGTTCAATCTTCACTTCCATTAGGGGTACTTTTGTGCGAGAAGTTTATGAAGCATTGCCTGGAGATTTTGAAAGTGGTTTTGTTTTTATTTGAATTTGTTTAGTTATTTAGTTAGCTATTATTGCTGGGACAGGAGAGGCAAGCAAGTAGACTAAAAAAGTACAGTATTTTCTTCTAAACATAAATTCTTGTAAATCTGTAGTTCAGAAGAAAATAGTATATGATGGAACTTTGTTATCACTGAAATTAATCAAGTAGTACTGTAATTATTTTATTCTTGGGTAAATTCTAAGTCACAGATCCTTTCATTAGTGATTGACATACCAGTATATATCAAGAAAGTATTGTGTCTATACAGATTTTGATATCTTCAAACACTAAAAAGTGCCTTCTATAAGCCACAATTACGTTTTGCCTACTTTATTTTTAATGATTATACATGGATGGTGCAGTATCTTCTTTTGTGTGAACTTAACACAAACCAGACATTTGGTAAGAGATAAATTCAAATGAGAAAATGCCTCCATCAGATTGTCTATGGCAGGCTTGTATTGGATTTTCTTGATTGATGAGTGATGTGAGATATCCCAGCTCACTGTGGGTGGTGCCACCTCTGGTCTGTTGTCTTGGGTATAATAAAAAGCAGACTGAGCAAGCAACAAAGAAGCACTCCCACATCCAGGTTCCTGCCTTGAGTTTCTACTCTGATATCCTTTAGTGATGGACTAGAAGTTGATTTGGATTATTGTATTCTATCATAGCAATTGAAATCCTAACTAAGTCATGTGAATATATGTATATATAGTAGATATATAATATATGAAATATTAATAATTTACTAGACATATTTGGTGAATTCTTTATCCACTCTCTTCTCCATAGCTATCACTTTAATTTTTAGCTTTGAGGATTTTTATAGTTTGATTTAAAACCTTTACTGTTTTATAGGTTAGCTCCAGGGATTAAACCAAAAGGGTTAGTAAAGTTTAATTAAAACTATTCTATTCAATACAGGAAAATTATATTAATGTATTTGAAGGCACTATTAATCCTAAGGTTTTACATAAATCTAAAATGGGTTTCACTTCACTTAAATTAGTGCCATCTTACAATATAAATGCTAGCTAAGAGTTCCATGAACAATGTTAATTTCAAATGAATTAAATTATATTTTTCTCATCCACCTTTGCCTTTTGATATCTGTCTTGTTTCTATGTTGTATTGCTAACTGACTATTTACACTTACACTTATTTCTTCTCAGAATTAATAGGGTGAATTCCTTTTACATTAAAAGGAATCTTGTTTGGAAACTCTAGGAATTAAAGATGTAAATTAGAGTAGAGAATAAAAGTTGTGAGGAAAGCAAAAACAAAACATTTTAAGAAAAATTAAGTAATAATGAAGGTCAA